TTCTAAAATAACTTTAATTTTTCAATTTTCTTCTTTTTACAGTCTTTAAATTAATTTCTTTTCGTCTTTGTTTTCTTACGGAAATAATGAGAATGTTTTTTAACTTTTTTTTATTTTTTTGAGGTTCTAATATTTAATCGTTTTTTTTTTGCAAAATTATAAATACTGAAGTCTCAATTTAATACAAATTTGTCCATTTTTTTGTTTTTCAATATTTGAATCTTTCACATTTTACTCTGAGAAGCTCTTTGTTTGCGATCTTTAAATTTCAATTTCTTAATTAATTCAGTGATTCTTTTTTCAAACTTTTTTTTTTCAAAAACTTCTTCTTTTTATTTGGTCTTTATACGCTTTATAATAAATAAATAATGAGATAGTGTTTCAACTTTTTTTATTTTTTGAGGTTTTAATATTTAGTCGTTGATTTTTCAAAATTATAAACACTGAAGTCTCAATTTTATACAAATTTGTCCAAATTTTTTATTTTTCAATATTTGATCTTTCAAATTCTACTCTGAGAAGCTCTTTGTTTACGATCTTTAAATTCCTAATTAATTAATAAATTCAGCGATTATTTTTTCAATATCTTTAATCTTCAAATCTTGTTATCTTTAAAATAACCAAATCATTTATCATTAATTTGTCAACCCACCTTTCTGTGTAATTTTTATTACGGTTTTTCTATCAAAAATTGTTCTTTCAATTATCATTATCAGCAGTTTCAATATCTCCGAGTTTATATCACTTTTTTTACTTAAATCTGTCCTTATATTATAAAATCCAATAGCCTTTTATAAACTTTATATCTTTCAATCTTGAGATTTTTTCTTTATCTTTAAATATTTTAAAGAAAGATCCTTATTTTTAAATCTATTTTTTCATTCACGTAGTTTTATATCTTTCTACTTCTTGATATTTCAGTATTATGATTTTCAAGATATCTGTCGATCTGAGTATTTTTCTCACTTTCAGTCTTTCTTTCAATCTTTTAAATTTTCAAATGTTGAATTTACACATTTTTAATTTTTTTATTAAGCTTTGTATCTCCAATAAACTTTCACAATCTTTAATCTTTAAAGTATTTTTCTTTGTCCTTAAGTATTTCAAGATCTCTAATTTTTCATTGTTTTTTCTTCATTTCGTATTTATACGCTTCAATCTTCACATTTTTCTCGATTTCTGTCCGTTTGATTTTCTATTTTTTTGACAATCTTTAAATCAATTTTTATGTATCCTTAAAAGTAAAAATAAAAAAATCTTAATTTTTTTAATCTTCTTTTACTTGAATTTAATCTTTGTAGATTTATCAATTATTTAGTGTAACAATTTTTTGAAGATACTTTTCAACCTATATCCTATATCTTGCAAATTTAGAAACTCAAAATTTCCACAATCTTTAAATTACGAGTAGTTTCTCTTTCTGTATCTTTAAAAGTTTCAAGAGTACGATTTTTGGTTTCACAATTTCATATATTTCAATCTTTGAATCTTTCGATTTTGTTTAGAATTTTTAGATTCTTTGACTTTTAGTTCTTTTCAATAAAAATTCAAAATATTTGTTACCAAATAATCACTTTACATTTAGAATTTTCCCAAAGATTTATTTGTCAACTGTTCACGATAATAAAACTTTTCTTCATATCTTTCAAACTGTAGATTTTTTCTTTATCTCCAAATATTTCAAATAAAGATCTTCGTTTTTATTTTTTAATCTCTCCAAATCTTCAAAATCTCAATTTTTAATTTCACAATGTTTATTTCGATCTTTCAATCTCTCAATCCATCTTGTTTTAAATTTTGAGAACCTTTGACTTGTTGCCAAATAATCCCTAAATTTATTATTTTATTTGAATTTAGAATTTGTCGACTGTTCAAGATAATAAAACTTTTCAGTTAACAAAGATTGAAGCTGATTCGAGGGAACATTTTCTCATATTTCAAATCAAATTATTATTTTGATATTTTTTAAAGTTGTAGTTTATTGTGAAGGTATCCTCGCCGGCCACGGCGGTCATGGCGGCGGCAACGCGGTGGCAGGGATTGGAATGCCCACCCCCTGGGGGCGGCGGACTGGTATCCAGGCGGGTCGGAGGCCGGATTGATCGAAAGCACAGCAACCCGCGGCGCTAGGCCTGATTGCTTTCTTATAAAACTCCGTCAACACATCTATTTCGACGTAAACACCACATACACAATTTTTTCTCTCACTCACCTCAACCAATGACGTTTCGTTATAGCTGTATGACAACAGATGGCGTCGTATTGGTCAGCCATCCATACGATCAAAATTATGTAAAATGCCGTCGTTGTATCGTTGAAAAATTCAGACATTATCGCCTCCATTCCTGAAAAAAAATTATATAGTTTTTGACGTGTTTAAATACATAAAAAAGACAAAAATAACACCATTTTTTGACTATTTTGTTGATTTTTTGGCTTGTTTTTAACGAAATTTTGCATCTCTTGCTGAAAAACTTGCTAAAACCCTCGAGAAATGCTAAATTAACGTAGTTTTTAACTCAAATTTTTAACCAAATTTCGGATTATTTTTGATTCAATTTTCCTCAAAAAACAATTAATTCGAAATAAAAAAGTAATATTATATTCGACTTAATTTTATATTTTTTCAGCCTGTTTAAACAAAATTTTATAAAACTTTTTAGCTATATTTCAAAAACGTACTTAAACACTCAAAAAAGCAAAAAAAATATACTTTTTGTCTATTTTGTTGATTTTTTTGCTTGTTTTTAACGAAATTTTGCGAAATAATTGCATTTCTTGCTGAAAAACTTAATAAAACACTCGAGAAATGTAAAAATAACATAATTTTCGAATTAATTTGTTGATATTTTAGTACAATAACGCGTTTTTGGCCAAATTTGTGGTTTCTCGGCTTATGATTGCTTAATTTTTCTCAAAAACCAATTAAATCGGAATAAAAAAATAATATTAACTTCGATTTCATTTAGTAATTTTTCAGCCTGTTTAAATAAAATTTTATAAGCCTTTTTAGCTTTATCTCAAAAACGTACTTTTTTTGTCTATATTTTGTTGAATTTTTGACTTGCTTTTACCGAAATTTTACAAAATAATTGCGTTTCTTGTCGAAAAATTTTCTAAAATACTTGAAAAATACAAAAATTATATAATTTTTGACGTGTTTAAACACATAAAAAAGACAAAAATAACACCGTTTTTTGCCTATTTTGTTGATTTTTGGCTTGTTTTTAACGAAATTTTACGCAATAATTGCTAAAAAACTTGCTAAAATCCTCGATAAATGCCAAATTAACATAATGTTCGACTTAATTTGTTGATATTTTTGCACAAAAACATTTTTGACCAAATTTCGGCTTATTTTTGACTTAATTTTCCTCAAAAACCAATTAATTCGAAATAAAATAAGTAATATTATCTTCGACTTAATTTTATAATTTTTCAGGATGTTTAAACAAAATTTTATAAGACTTTTTAGCTTTATTTCAAAAACGTACTTAAACACTCAAAAAAAGCAAAAATTATATGCTTTTTGCCTCTTTTGTTGATTTTTTTGCTTGTTTTTATTGAAATTTTACAAAATAATGGCGTTTAATACCGAAAATCCTTTGAAAATGCAAAAATTATATAATTTTTGACGTGTTTAAACACTTAAAAAAGACAAGAATAACACCATTTTTTTGCCTGTTTTGTTGATTTTTTTGAGTGTTTTTACAAAATTTTTGAGAAATAATTGCATTTCTTGCTAAAAAAAACTGCAGAAATAACATAATTTTCTACTTAATTTGTTGATATTTTAGTACAATAACGCATTTTTAGCCAAATTTCTGGTTTCTCGGCTTATTTTTGCTTAATTTTGCTCAAAAACCAATTAAATCGAAATAAAAAAAGTAATATTATCTTCGACTTAATTTTATTTTTTCAGCCTGTTTAAACAAGATTTTTTTTGCTTTATTTCAAAAACGTACTTAAACATTCAAAAACGCAAAAATAACGTATTTTTTGACCATATTTAGATGAATTTTTGGCTTGCTTTTACCGAAATTTTACAAAATAATTGCGTTTCTTACCGAAAAACTTTCTAAAATACTTGAAAAATGAAAAAAATTATAATTTTTGACTTAATTTGTTATAGCTTTGTTTTAGCAAAATCTCACAAGAAAACTGAGAGTTTAGTACAAAAACGTGCTTGAAAATATTTTCGACCAAATTTTGTAGTTTTTTCTGCTTATTTTTGACTCGATACAACACTTGAAAAAAATAGAATGAAACATTGGAAATAAAGAAACCCAATCTTAAAGTTTTTATGCTAAAAGATCATAACAGAAAGATATAAAAGAATTCGAAATAAAAAGTATATTGAAAAAGAAGTCAACAAAATAAAAAACAGAAGAGTATAAAAATGTGATGAATCTTTTGAAAATCAAGAAGTAATAAAGACTAGAATTCAGTAAAATATGGATTAAAAAAGTTTTTTAAAAGTTGTGATCAAAGGTGAAGAAATAGAAGGATAAAAATGTATAAAAAAAAGGAAAAAATAGAAGTGAGAATACAAGAAAATGAGAATACAATAAAAATGTCCTTGTAAAAAAAGTCAAAAAATCTAAAAATTTCAAACAGGAGGCCTAAAATATTAAAACTGAAAAAGAGGAAGACTGAAAAACTTCAAAAAAATGTTTTTTGTACTTTCAAAGATAAAGAGAAGTTAATTGAAAGATAGTAAATTGAAAGATTAATTCGTTTTAAGAGAAAAAATGTTAAATAATGTTGCAGCCTAAAATTTGGACGAACAGAAATAGAAAAAAAAACACTTTAAAGTTAAAAAAGACAAATAATATAAAGATTACAAGACAAGGATTTTGTGTAAGACTATTGAACTTTGAAATATAAAGATTCAATAAGAAAATGTAAAGAATGTTTAGATACAAAACTTGAAAAAAAATAGAATGAAATACTGAAAATGAAGAAAAGTATCTTAAAATTTTTACATAAAAGAAATCATAAAATAGAAACATACAAAAATGTAAAGAGAGGAAAACTAGATTGAAAAATTGTTAGAGACAAAGTAGACAAGAAAAGAAAGAGATTTTTTAATTGTAATTAAACAAAAAAGTGATTTAAATTTGGAAATGTCGCAAAACCCGAGACAAAAGTCGTGAAAAAAATTCATTCATTCGCCCGATTTTCTGCAACTTTTTTGGAAAATTGTATTCTCAGTGAGCGCATCAAAACGCAATTTCGGTCCTCATCGACGCATTAAATCCGGTCTCGCGTTAATATTTCGGTTTATGCCTTGACGACATTTCATTTCCCATTTATTTCGTTTAATTCCCCGAGTGTCTTGGTGACAAGCTGTGATATTATTGTCTCTTTCTTCCTCTTTTGAGATTTTGCCTTGGGTGGGGGTGGTGGTGTAGTTTTTTTTTGTTTTCTTCTCTCTCTCCCAGTGTATTTATTCTAACTCGGAATTAAGCATCAGGAGTTTTTAATGCTTAATTAACCGGAATGTAAATAAAATTCGGATCGAATCGACGTTTGTTGATCGTGAAACTGGAGTCTAAGGGTTGTTTGTCGGTGCTTCTGATTTAATTATTGTTGGAGGAAAAATCACGACGAGTTGTTATTATGACGGGAACGTATTTTCGTATTCATAAATGTTGCGAAGGAACGACTTGGAAAGAATGAAATTAAAAATACATTCACATAAGAAGAGAGAGGCCTGGGCCCTCACTCACTTGCTACTTTATGAAACTAAAAGAAGGAAAATTATCGGAGTCTCGAGAGGAATAAAATCTCTTTCTGACACTCTAATGCAGTTTGCGTCGCTGACATCTATTACAGAGAGGCGGATTTTTACGCCAAAATTCCACCAAAATATTTTTTTTGCATTTTTCAAGTATTTTAAAAGGTTTTTCGGTAAGAAACGCCAAAAATTTTAAAAAATATGGGCAAAAATTATATTATTCTTGCTTTTTCGAGTATTTAAGTACGATTTTGAAGATAACTTATAAAGTCTTACAAAATTTTGTTTAAACAGGCTGAAAAATTACGAAATTATTTTTTTATTTTGAATTATTTGATTTTTAAGCAAAATTAAATCAAAAATAAGTCAAGAAACCACAAAAATTGGTCAAAAATGCGTTTTTGTACTAAAATATCAACAAATTAAGTCGAAAATTGCATTTCTCGAGCGTTTTAGCAAGTTTTTCAGCAAGAAATGCGTAAAATTTCGTTGAAAACAAGCCAAAAATCAACAAAATAGGCGAAAAATGGTGTTATTTTTGTCTTTTTTAAGTGATGTTTAAACACGTTTTTGAGAATAGTTTCGTTAAACAGACTGAAAAATTACAAAATGAAACAGAAATTAATGTTATTTAGTTTATTTTGATTTAATTGCTTTTTGAGCTAATGAAGTCAAAAATAATCCGAAAAACTACAAAATTTGGTCGAAAATGTTTTCAAGCACATTTTTGTACTAAATTCTCAGTTGTCTCGCAAAAAATAACAAATTAAGTCAAAAGTCATATAATTTTTGCATTTTTCAAGTATTTTAAAAAGTTTTTTGGCAATTATTTTGTAAAATTTCGGTAAAAACAAGCCAAAAAATCACCAAAACAGGCAAAAAATGGTGTTATTTTTGTCTTTTTTTAAGTGTTTAAACACGTTTTTGGTTAAACAGACTGAAAAGTTACAAAATTAAACAGAAATTGATGTTATTTTCTTAATTTTGATTTAATTGGTTTATGAGCTAATCAAAACATTTTTTAATTTTTTTTATTGAATCTTTAATTTACACAATATCCTCATCCTTCATCTTTATACTATTTGTCTTTATCGTTAAATGTTTGAAATATGAGAGCTTCAATTTTTATTTTCCTTTCTCGATTTAGTTTTCATAACTTTCAAAATGTCTTTCAATCTTTATAGTTTTCTCTATTTCTGTCATTTTGTCTTTCTAACTTCCAAATTTTAAGTTGTAACACACTTAGTGTATCTTTATCTCAAAACAAATTAATCTTTTCATTTTTGAAAGTACAAACAACAATTTTTTGAAGGTTTTTTCAAGTTTTTCAGTCTTTCTCTTTTTGAATTTGTGTATTTTATACTCTTATTTAGTTTTTAATCTTTCCGTCTTCCTATTTTAAGTCTTTATTTTTTTACAAGAACTATTTTCATTGTATTCATATGTATTTTTTCATTTACTTTTTTTATACAATTTTTATAACCCTGTTTCTTCATCTTTAATCACAGCTATCAAAAAAAAATCAGTCCATATTTTCGTAAATTCTAGTCTTTATACTCTCTCAATTTACAAGTTTAAATTCTCTAAATACGCGATTTGTTTCAC